TGTGTGTGTGTGTGTGTGTGTGTGTGTGTGTGTGTGTGTGTGTGTGTCACTCATCTGCCCCTCACATTCCTCTCACACTCCCCAATCACGCTGGCCTGAACATCACTCTGACATTGTGGCATAATATCACGCCATGCGCTGACAGGCAGCGCTCCTTCGCCCCTGTGTGTTGTTGTTGTTGTTGTTGCGTGGGCTGTCTGTGTTTGTGTTTAAGGAAGAATAAAAGAGACTGGGGGATGAGAGATTTTTGTGCAAAATTGTCTTTGTGCTCTGTTTTCAGATACTAACAGTGTCAGGGCTGATCACCTACCCACATCTCATCCTCATCCAGCTGTCACATCCGCTCAGTTCCCAGTTGCAGCAGAAGGCCTTTATAAACAAAAGTAACAACTGAATGTCAGAGTTGGGATTTGAAGAAAAACTTCAGTACTTCAGGGAAATGCATCAATTGCTTGGATGTTTGTTTTTTTTGTATTTTAAACTATTGCTCTTTATAAGTACTTCATTACTGAGTTGCTTTGATGGCTAGCTGCACATAGAGAAGAAAAGGGGAACGATTTGAAATGTGTCCCAAATGTGTGGAAGTTAATATGTTATATTGTTTCTTATTTGAGCATTTGTTATTGAACCAGTTGTCTTGTACTTCTATTGATATCTCTATTTAAGTATAGACATTTCTAAATAAACAGATCTGTACTGTTCCTTGTCTCCAATACCCTTTCTTCCAACAAATTACTAAACGCTTTTGCCTTTGAGCTTATGGTCATTGCGGGCTTCCGTAGTACTCGTAGAAGAAGAATGGCCAGTTGGATGTGGCTCCGCTGTATTTTAGGGCCTCATTTGCAACGAATTCACCGTTCAACGGACCAGTCTCGACCCGAGGGCAGGGCCGGGAGGAGGGTAGGAATACCTATAATATTTTGCGTTTGTTTTAGAACAGCCGACTGCGAAAACCGAGCAGTATTTAATCTGTTAGCATTAATGTAGCTCCGGCTGCGTCCCGGAAGTGTCAAGTGTTTGTTATTGACACCCTGCTGTCACTGCACAGAGCAGCCGGGGTGACAGTTTGTAAATGAATGAAATGACAGGCCCACATCAGTACGCTCTTCTTCACATGTTCAATTCATTTATACTTCACCGTGACAGTGATGGCGACAGCCCGTCCAACTGGAGCTTCATAAACTGTTTTCCTCAGACACTAACCTTGTTAAGCTAACGCTAAGTGGGGAGCAGGAGAGGGGGAAACTTTGCCAGCACGGGAGGAGAAAATACTAAGAGTAGGCATACATGTTTACTGTCGCAGAGCCAGTGTAAAGACGGTGTGTAGCTGGAATATCTATATCCATATCTAAATGGATGCAGCCCGTGGTACTAGCTGCTAGCTAGCGATAGCTATCTGAAAGGCAGACGTTAAAACAGTGCTCATGGTATGAACATGTTCTCTCACAGCAGGGATGGAACTACCAACCCGGGAGTCTGGAGAAACACACGGACAGCATCCTCGGTTGGGTCAGTGTGGTCGTATGATTGATGATACTGCATGGACAAGGTTAAGAAGTTCTGTCAAGTGAAGTTTGTGTTTTCTTCCTCCAGGCTTCAGCACTGTGGTCTCTGTCCTACTATAGCTCTCCTCTTCTCCTGTGCTACCTGTACAGGAAAGGTAGGTTGTATGAATTATGTTTGGTGGGACTTATTTCTTCTCCACTGTGTACTGCAGTTATGACTAGAGCTGGGGTGATTGGAAATGTATTTTGACCAACTGAAAATAAATGAGCAGCGACGTTAAATCACATCACACTATCTCTGGTTCCAGCTTGTCCAATGAGAGGATTTTCTACATTTCTTTCATTTAAAGTTTCGTAAATGTAATGTTTTGTTATTGTTGTTTTGGGCTGTTGGTTGACATTTGAAGATGAGAAACTGTGATGGACATTGTCACGATTTTACGATGCTTAATAAACTAAATAGTAGCATCAGTTGTGACATATCATCAAAATAGTTGTTCCAAAGAAGGACAGAAGTGGTTGTACAAGAGAAGACTATTTTGACTAGAACTGGATGATAATTCAGTCTTGATTTCTTGAATTTCAGCTAAATAACCTGGCATGTTATCATGTTAACTCTCTGCAGAATTCTATAGTCAAAGATTCTGAAAAAAGGTGTAGTTACATCAACTGAATCACCCAGGAAGACTGTGCAGCAATAGAAATTAATTGCCCGAGGTTGTATGCTACTCCGTAGTGTATAATTGAGCTTCTGATATTGATTTATAAATATGGTTCTAGGGTGGTTGTCAGAGGGGGGGGCTTGTTATGTGGATTTCTGTGACATTGTTGCTTTGTGTATTTTTAGGTTACATCTGCAGCAGTAAGCTGGTTCCAGTGAGTCAGTATGTGGGAACAGTGCTGGTGTGTCTTCTAGGAGTCGCCTGTCTGAGAGGTGAGGCTCCAGATTTCAACTTACCGGCAGGCGATGACTAATTCAGTACATTCGTCTTATAGATATCACATCGGATGCTGTATATGCCACATGCAAATAAGATTTCATTAACATTGAGACCATTGTACAAGGTCTACACCCACAAAGCATACTAAACGCATCCTGCAGGCTTTGCAACAAAATACTTGTGTACTCAGCCTCTCTCTCTCTCTCTCTCTCTCTCTCTCTCTCTCTCTCTCTCTCTCTGTCTCTTCGTGACTCTCTTTCCTTTCCTCACCCAGGGTGGGGGAGATGGAAAAACTCGGAGTATCTTCAGTTTCTCTCCATTCTTGAAGAAAACAAAAAGAATCACACGCCAACAAATAAGGTGCGCTCACGGCAACCTGAAGTACTTATCAGGATTTACTGTTGGTATTAGTATGAACAATTATTGGGGAATAATGGGACATAAAATAATATTACTCCTGTCTTTGTAAGTATCCATATTGACACATCAGAACTTAACTCAAAGGACAACTTATTTTTTGCTTCTGCTTTCCTTGTAGAAAACGCTGAAGTGCTATGACTTTGACTTCTCGTTCTGGCCTTCGGATTTCAGCTGGACAGAAGTCAGCAATCTGTACGTTTTTTTTGTTCTTGTGTTTGAAATGTTTTTACTGAAATTCTATTACCACCAGGGTCAGTTCATTATGAATACGTGCACACTCAAAGAACTTTGAAGTTCACTGGATAAATGCATCCACCAAATGTCAAATGCTTTGTGGCTCATCTGTTTCATTGCAAGCCTTTGACTCTGTGTTAAACAGAAAACTCTCAAAGGCTGGCGTTTCTCTGCTAAAGCCAGAGCCCAGATTAAGAGGAGCAGCAGACAGTGTCCTTCACACTGTGCGGACTCTACCATGCCACATCATCAGGTAAATGCACTTTATGCAGCATAATCCAAAAACAAAGACTCTACATGATTCCAGGACGACACTGCAGTGAGGCGATTGATGCTGTCTGCATCTTATTTCACTCCTGTTAAGTCATTCTTTTCCCTGACAATATAAAGTATTTGTCCAGTGTTGCTCCTGTGTCATCATGTCTAGTTTCTTCCTCTGCAGTTTTCTTGTTGCCCACTCATTTGGGAGGAGGATGCTGTACCCTGGCTCTGTAGGTTTACTGCAGAAAGCCATGCGGCCCATGCTCCTGCAAGGCCAGGCTAAGTTAATAGAAGAGGTAAAAAAAACACACACTCGCCCTCTAACTGTCTATATTCATCTCAATAAATACCAATTATCATTCTCTGTCGATTTGCCTCCACTTTTCACAGTTTGACGGCCAAAGGAACAAGCTTGTGGCCTGCGATGGCAATGAGATCGACACGATGTTTGTGGATCGAAGGAGAGACGGGGGGCAGACCGGCCAGACCCTGGTTAGTCTCTGCAATGATTTGTTGTTCCACTGGAACTCGTGTCACATCAGTCACGTCACGGGTGGCTCCTGAAATGTATGACTTCTGCCACAGGTCATCTGCTGTGAGGGGAACGCAGGCTTCTACGAGGTGGGCTGCATGAACACGCCACTGGAGGGTGAGCACTCATAAGAGTCGAGATATGTTTATAACGCAAAAGCACAGAATTTCTCTTAAATTGTAGTTAAATCTTGTGTTGATGTAGGTGGCTACTCTGTGCTGGGCTGGAACCACCCTGGCTTTGGAGGCAGTACGGTAAGCAGTGTTTTAAGATTTGCTACTATGTCTTTAAACTAGCATTGGCTCACAACGTCACATAGTTAGACAAACGACACAGTGGGGGAAACAGCAGCATGTTGAAATTTTGGTTTCAATTTGACCGTATTGCCCAAGAGGATGAAGTCCACTCTCATGGTCGATATTATCAGTGGGGTGAAATAAAACATCGTAAATCTGTTTCGTCTTCGGAGGTGCGTTGTTGAGTGTTACTGTTGTGTTTTAATAATGCATGGATATTGCCTTCTTACTTTCTGCCAGGGAGTGCCATTCCCCCAGAATGAGGCCAACGCCATGGATGTAGTGATCCAGTTTGCAATGCACAAACTGGGCTTCCAGCTCACTGACATTGTGGTCTACGCGTGGTCCATAGGAGGATTCACAGGTACAGAACAAACAGACCAATACATGAAGGGCACTATGCTATAAAATCATGTTATTTAGTCCTTCCTTCCTGGCTCTGCTGATCCCTACTCATTTCATCCCTCTTAATTTCCCTTCTCAGCCAGTTGGGCAGCGATGTCGTACCCAGAGATCCAGTCGTTGGTGTTGGACGCCTCCTTCGATGACCTCCTGCCTCTGGCGCTCAAAGTCATGCCCGACAGCTGGAGTGAGTCCTGGGGGTTAAAGGGCAAACAATCTGTTATTTGTTTCCAGCAGGGAGCTTTGCTTCAGCAACTGAAATGTCTTTGTTCTCTGTTAGGGCCGTTGGTACAGCACACAGTCAGACAGTACATGAACCTCAACAATGCTGAGCAGCTTCTCAAGTGAGTGGGACAATCTATTTAATGTGATATTAATCATTCAAGTCCAAGTCCGGTATTATTGAACATTACGCAACATGTTGGAGTGCGATTGTGAAAAACAAACCTTTTGTTGTTGTTGCTCACAGTGATGTGGTAAATTAACACTCAACTCCTTCTCTTCCTCCAGATATCAGGGAGCAGTCCTGCTGATCAGGAGAACCAGAGATGAGATCATCACCACGTGAGTCTTCATTTTCCATTGGGTTTTGCATAATGTCAGCAGGACGCATTTTGGTTGAAATAGGACGTTAAATAAGGGCATAACACCTTTTTAGTTAATATGGGATCCAAAGTTAGACTTTCTTTTTTGCACCTGATGTCGGGCTAACCCAAATAAGATTTCCTATAATAAAAAAAACCATCCAAACATCAATTTTTTTTTTAATAAAATGCAAGAAAATCTATAATTGTATTGTTGGGCATTTGCTGTTAAATGAATATATATATATATACACACACACAGTAGAAGCATGTCAAGTGGCATGCCATTTTCTGTACATTATAGCACTATAACTTACACCATAGTTATATAATACTCGAACATAATTAGAAACAATTTCACACCAGAAACCTACCCAGAACTTCAATCATCTACCATTTACAACACAGTAATTGTCAGTATGTTGAGTTAATTGCCTTGCCAGTAGCTTTCACATGCCCACTCAAAGAGCCCTGACACTGTAATAAGTTGTACTCTGTATATTACAGGGGTCCAGAGGACGTCATGTCTAACAGAGGCAATGATCTCCTGCTTAAACTGCTGCAATTCAGGTCGGTATTGTCAATGCTGGATACGATCAATGTTTTCTGACTTGTTGAGTGACACAAGTGGTGTTGTCTTTTTTCTGCCTAGGTATCCAAAGATAATGACCGACGAAGGGATTAGAGTTGTCAGGCAATGGCTGGGATCCTCCAATCCCTTAGAAGAAGGTGCGTGTGATGTAAAAAATCATCTTTTGTAAATTAAAATTCAGGATCTGAACACTTGTGAGTTGGTATTACAACAGCTCTGTGTAAAGCCAGCTCCCTGTTTCTCTACAGCATCCGTGTACAGCGGCTATGAAGTGGACGACGACTGGTGTGTGTCTGTGCTGCAGTCGTATCAGGCAGAGAGAGATGTTGTGTTTCCATGGAGTGTTGGTAAGCCCTCAGGTCCTTTTCACATTTACAAGGCAAATAAACTGCACACAGGACTTCCCTCATACGTGCATGTTTCGCCTCACAGTACCTTCGCACACACTGTTTTGCATCTCTGTTCCCAGGTGAGGATATGATGATGGAGGGAAGACGGCAGCTGGCTCTTTTCTTGGTAAGGAAACAGTCTTATTGTGTCCGTGCAGATGTTTCTTCTGTCTGGTTTAAAGGGCAGCCACCTGTTGTCTTTATCACACCGCTCAGAGTTGGAATACAAAGTACATCTAATTTCCTTTTCCGCAGTAAGCCCCATTTTCAGCTTACCTTTTCTCTCACATCTGTTCAGACGACATTACCACGGAGAAACACCATTCTGGTCGCCATAGTAACCGGCTCACCTGTGCTCTCAGGTTGACTGGTGTAATATATTTCACCGCGCTCAGCTTATTGAAGTCATTTAACATCAAACAAGACCAGTGCCATCAATTACAGCTAATGCTATGCTTTTCCTTCCCTCTGAATTGGGCTTCATTCACCTCCGGTTGTAAATCCTTAAGAGACGGGAGATTTGTGAGGCACTGAGCCAGAAAGACCGAACCTAATATAATCAAGTTCTACACTTTTTGTTCATTGCCCTCCCACACCCCTCGTATCTATTCCTCCTCCATCCCCACTCTTTTTTTTTTTTTTCTCTCTCCCAGGCACGGAAGTACATGCGAAACTTTGAAGCGACACACTGCACTCCTCTCCCCGCCTCCGAGTTCCACCCGCCCTGGAGACTGTAAAGAAAAGATGGATGGATGCGAGGAAACGAGCAGCAGAGGATTTGGATGGCCTGTGGTCAAGAGCGTATTTCTAGCATGGTGTGAATGTATAACTGTGATTTTGTTCCCGATTCTTTCCGACAGATTAGTCGTCATGTTTTTAGTGTTGCTGTGGTGGCATCTGGTCTACTACTACTCCTCATCCGGAGCCACAAATCTGTAAAATATGGTGCATCTTATTTTTTTTTGAGGTTAGATTTGATTCATGCTGTTCAGTGTTAGTCTCCTAGGGGGGAAAAAAAAAAGGCATTTTGTGTAAACGCAAAAGCTATTTCTCTCCTTCCACCGCTCCCTCTTTGGCTGGATTTATAAAGAAGCAATTACAAGTAGAAATGCGTAGCTGAAATTTAAATATTGTAAAATAATCTGCATAGTTTCTTTAAAATGCAGCCAAAGTGTTAAAGCTTTTCAGGTTTTTCTTTTCTGTGGACACCATCTTTATGAACAAAGCTGTATCCTAAAATCATGCTCTTACATGTTCTGTTAAATATGCTGAATAAAATGTTTGACATAAGGGACTCATTTGCTAATTACTTGACGCAAGTGTTAAATTGCACAAAGATACAAGAGACTGAGATTAATAAGATTGCCTCAGAACAATACACTGCTGAAGGCAATTGTCTACCATTAGAGCTTTATTAAATTCCCACCATACAACAATTAACTTGTAAAATTAATACAGACATGAAAAATGTGGAAATAAATCCTGATTTACATAACAGAGGGGGAAGTCACATCATTTTCCTGAAGTTGTCCATGGCTTCTTTGACTTTTTCAAGTTCCGTTTGGCTCTGCCGTAGCTGTGGAGAAAAGGAAGTCGTCATTTACTTTTTTTTCTTTTTTTACCACAAAGTGTTACTCCCCGAGAAACCCTGCAAGTCAATTTATTTTTCTCACCTTCTCGGCATCCTGCTCCTGCACCTTCACCGGCACCTTCTCCTTGTAATCACTCTTTGCCATCTTCTCTCTCAATTTCACCATCTGTTTCTCCAAGTCACCTTTCTTTGTCATCAGCTTAGCCTCTTCCTTCTCCACATCGATGAGACCCTTGGGGGAATTAAAGGTGCAGTGAAGATGAGGGCTGGCTATAAATAATGATCTTGTTATTTCAGGGCAGTAAAGGAATAACTAAACTCAAAATAAAGCAGAGGGGAAACCTAGTTTAAGTAGTATTCCATGCATGATTTCAAACTAGGTGAGGGGCATTAATGCTCTTAGACTACTCGGGTAGTTTAACTCGTCAAAACAAAACCAGTGAATTTAAATGTTTTGCAACTGACATATTGACACATCAATTCTTGTGTAGTGATGGCAAAACCAAGCAAAATTGAACAGATTCCCTTCTCACCTTGAGCATAAGGTTGACGGTACATCTGTCAGAGGCGATAGCCACAGCACAGCCTGCTGGGACAGGCTGGTTAGCTGTCAGAGCGATGACGGCCTGAGAATAAGACAAGGTCTGAATCTGCAGACTGTACTTCTGCACCTGGGACGCAGTCGCAGAGTCAATGCACTGGAGGTAGCCTGGGAGAGAAATGGGCAAATGAAAGTTTAGATAATGAATTATTATTTTAGAGTAACTCTAAGGATGAAGCTGGTGTTTGTCATCTTACAGTCGGCTCTGGTCTTGGTCAGGTTGTAGTCGGCTCTCAGTGACCGGATCGTTTTGATCACAGTCATAATGAACTCCATGTCGCGGTCGACCTCCGCACTGTGCCAGCAGAACTACAAGTCACAGAAAAACATAACAAAATAATTATTGCAGGGGCTTTCATTTAAAATAAGTGTTCACCCTCTCAAAATATCTCAAATGGCAACTTTATAATATCTTCAGTTCTGACCTGTACAGGCATCTGTACATCAGTGAGTTTTTAACCAACCCTCATTCCCCCTCTCCTTATCTCACCTCCTCTGTATCAGGGTAGGGTGTGACACAGATGCTAGGCGGATCACTCTCAGGTCGCCGACGTGGTAACCTCTGATAGAGCTCCTCACTGACGAAGGGCATCACAGGAGACAGAAGGCGCAGACCGACTTCTAAGCAGGTGTAAAGGGTCTGTCTGCACACCAGGCGCCGTCTCTGGCCAGCGCCGTCTTCCTCCGACTTACTGAACACTGGTTTCACACTTTCCTAGAGGACAAGAAGAGTGGGAGGGGGTCAGCTTTGGTACAAAGTCTTCTGCATTGACACAAACTTTTTACATAGACTATTTTAAGATGAATGGACCGGAGGTGCTCGCTGGTCTTAAAACATTTCTTACCAGGTAGACGTCACAGAGCTCGTACAACCAGAAGTTGTAAATGGCGGTCGTGATGGTCGTGAAGTCATAGGCCTTGAAGCCGGCATCACAGAGACCAACAGCTGCGCTCAGTCGAGACAGGATCCACCGGTCTGATACGTTCTCCTCTCCGCACAACTGAAGGGATTGAAGGAAGAGCAAAAGAGGAAGAGGTTCAGTGAACACGACTCCTGTCCGTGTACCTCTAAGGTAGCGTGTACACATTCATAAATATTAAGCAGGACAGCATATGAGTAAACGAAACCCCCCAGACTATTTAATGGTAACAAAAAACAACTGTTCTACTGAACATGTATTTGGTCAGAAGGGTTCGCGTGTCGTTAGATGAATATGAATAAGTAGGGAGCAGAGCTTGTTTATGCTCACTGTCCTTCATCTCTTCCCCTGGTCTCACCTGGGCTTTCTCTGATGGTACAAAGTTGTCTCCCAGTGTCTTCATGGCAAACTTCACAGCGTTCCACAGTTTGTTGCAGAAGTGACGGTAACCCAGGATGCGGTTGACATCCAGGTTGATGTCTCTACCTGAGAGACACGCATACAGGAATACAAGGAAGGATTTCAGTGTATCTTAAAATTAATTGCTTCAGTAATAAGTGACCTCATACTGACAGATTGTAATGCTGTTTTCCAGTGTTTTGATATATTTTATGGAGGCACAACAAGAGAGAGGGCAAGAAAAACTGAAAATACAAATGAGTTCACCTTGGCTAGTGTAGGCACACAGAGCGAACCGGAGAGCATCTGTGCCACACTCTGGGATGCCGTTTGGGTAGTCGGACGTTTGGCCCTGCTTTGCCTTCTCCACCTCCACAGGATCCAAGTTGCTGTCCATCAACAGGGCATGAAGACCCTAGAGGGTAAGGGGATGGGAAATAAGTCGGGATGTCACCACTAAAAAAAGAATGATGATTTCATCCTTTCAACTGCTTGATGTTTAGAAAGGTAGGAAAGAGAAAAAGGGTTTTATTATTAAGGGCAAAGTAAAGTTTACTACAAGTCCTTCAGTGCCCTCTAGAGGACAGATGTGCCTCCTCTGACTGAGCATGTTTCCGCCCAGCTGGTGAAGAGATTGATGGCCTCAATAAAAGCTTGTTGGAAGCAGAAAGGGGTGCTTAATAAATCTTACAAGAATATGAGCCTCGGGGGAGCAATGTGTGTGGGGTGACCATGTAAAAGACAACCCAAATGGGAGAGAGGAAAGACTGAATGTCTGCGTGTATCTGAACAAGCATCACAATGTGATTAGGCTTTACCTCGAGGGAGATCCCTGTAATGACGTCCAGAGGGTCAATGACGTTGCCCAGAGATTTGCTCATCTTCCTCCCGTGGGCGTCCCTCACCACTGCATGCAGATAGACCTGGAAGAGAAGCATGATCATTACTTAGTCACGTCCAGCTAATAACACTAGAATCCCACCCCTGTTGTGTTACGGTCCTGGTTCTGGCCGTTTTGATTGGTCTCACCTCTTTGAAGGGCAGCTTGCCGGTCAGTTTGAGGCCCATCATCACCATACGAGCAACCCAGAAGAACAGGATGTCATGGCCCGTCTCCAGCAAGGTGCCAGGGTAGAACACATTCAGGTCCTCGGTCTGAAGCGAGATGGTAAATAGCAACATTATGGATGGAAACGCATAAACAAAACTATGTTTAAAAGTCATATTTTACAAGTAAAAGTACTCGTAATTTGGGTGGCAGCATTTCCAGTATATTATTATTATTATTATATATTTTCTGTTTTAGAGCAGTGTTTCTACTGCAGAAGATAACTTTACTATCTACTGCAAAGAAATGACATTTGTGTGAGAAGGAAGGTGGTTGACCTCAGTCCTTTACCTCATTAGGCCATCCGAAGATGGAGAAGGGGAAAACGCCAGACGAGAACCAAGTGTCCAGAACATCCTCATCTGAAAAACAGGGACAGAAATGACGTAACGCGTATGAATATGGAGTAGAATTAATTACATTAGGTCGATCTGTGTAGTAGCAACACATGAACTGATTAGATAACCTTCACAAGGGTTGTGGTAGTGAGACTGCTTCATTAGAAAGTGTTAAATCTTACCTTGTCTGAGGGTTATTTTGTCAGCGGACACATTGAAGCGTTTTGCTGCCTTCTCTCTGGCCTCCTCCTCCGATTTCCCACTCACCCAGTAATGACCATCCATGTCCTAGAGACAAAACAAAAAGTAGATAAAAGAAAGAAAATGGTGGAATAACATCGCACAAAACTTTTATCTAAAAGCCTCCGGACCTTGACGATAGTGACGGACATCAGCTTACCTCTCCCGGTTTCACGGCGGCATCGTCAACGGTGATGAAGTACGCAGGAATACGGTGACCCCACCACAACTGCCGCGAGATACACCAGTCCCTGAGAGGAAGACGGATGAAACATGAAACTCACTCCACACTTTATTGTGCAAAATCAATCAATATCAACACATTTAAAATAAAAGGATAATTACCGGATGTTGTCCATCCAGTTGAACCACGTCTTGAGGTGGTGATCGGGGATGATTTTGAGCTGTCCCTCTCTGACTACGTCTGCGGCCTGCTTGCCCATTTCCGCGCAGCTTACGTACCACTGCGGCTTCAGCAGCGGCTCCACGATGTCCTTTGAACGACTGATAAGAGTAGATTCGTAACGCGGCTTTAAGGATGACCCCCGAGTAAGATGAAAAGATCTAAAAACACGAATAACTTGTGTTCTACTTGTGCGCACATGGACCGCACTTTACCTGCAGACAGGGACAACCATGGGGTTGTCTTTGATCTCTTTAAACTGGCCTCTGTCCTTGAGAGCCTGCAGCACTGTCTTCCTGGCCTCGAAACGCTTCACGCCCTGGGGGAAGAGAAAAAAAAGAAAAATTGAGACATAAAAGTGCTACACCATGCACACTGTGAACAAGCCTGACTTTTAGTGCCACGGCGAAAATGCACAAACTGCAGGGGGGGGGGGGGGGGGATGATAATGAGACACTATACCAGGAAGGGAGGAGGCACATTAATGAGCAGGCCATTTTCATCCAAAATGTTGATGAAGGCCAGATTGTGTCTCTCTCCAACCTCGTAGTCATTATGGTCATGAGCCGGGGTGATTTTGACAGCACCTGCACAGAAAATGGTGCAGAGGGACAGGAGAAAACACACACACACACACGAGAGACAGAGAGAGAGAGACACAGGAGAACACACACACACACACACAAGAGAGAGAGAAAGAGAACAGCCATAATAAGGAAAGAGAGAAAGAGAAAGAGAACAGCCATAATAAGGAAAGTGGCCTGGCTTAACGACATGTTATTATTACTTATTCTCAGCACAATGCAGGCTTCCTGTAACCATGCCTACCTGTTCCAAAGCTCATGTCCACAAAGTCATCGAAGACAATCGGCATCTTGCGGTCACAGAAGGGGTGCAGCACCACTTTGCCCTTCAGATGCTGATATCTGGAGTCGGCAGGGTGGACGGCTACAGCGGTGTCTCCCAACATTGTCTCAATACGAGTTGTTGCCACAATCACTTCCTCGTCTAAGAAAGAGAAAGAGATGCTTAAATAAAAAGCTATTACTGAAGTGGCACAATGTGTCTTTGCAGAAGATATTCTGCTCCCTATGAGCTCACATACCTGACCCGTCCACCTTGTAGGCGAAAGACACCATCACTCCGAACTCCACTTTCTCTTTGTAGCCAGGGACAGGCAACAGAGTCCTGCCAGTGAGCTCCTTCTTATCCACCTGCAAACCAACCAAACGATGTAATCAAGAGAGCACAGCATGGATCAGCACTTTGGATCACCATCACAGCCTTATAACAGGGTTAACAAAGTAAGGCTGGGGACTGGTGGACAAAACATTTGACATCATTTGCCAAAATACCAAAAATCACACTTAAGTCTAAAAAAATTTAAATATATCTTCTCCTTTTCTAAAATGATTATTTTTGGTAAGCAGTCGAGAGCCGGACAAGAAAACACGGGAAGAGGGAGGAGGATGACATGCAAAAAGTGTTCCCTGCTGGACTCGAACCGCTTACGCTGTGGCTTTTGTATTACACATTTTAGCCCTTAGGCCACCAAGATGCCCCCAAAATCTAACTTCTGGAGTAACAACCGTTGTCAAACTTCTCAAATGCATCAGCATTTAAAATAGTCTTATTAAACAGCCACTCAATACTATTTGCCTGGATGAAATACAAGATACATTTTAAAATAGAGTTTACATCTGCAAATATCTGATCAAAGAATATAAATCAGAGAATCGAAAACAATCAGTTTTCAGTACTCAAGAGTTTTGTTGTTTGATAGGCAGCCCGAGTAATGAGTGTTAATATAGGTTCATAGATACATGCACTTTCAATCCAAGTATTTTAACACACAATTTTAGTATTTTTGATTAAATCTCAACCAATGTGTAAAACCCTCAAATTAAATAATAAAAAGAATAGAAACAAGTAGAGTGACTTTTGTGACTTCTAATAGGATGCATACTTGCCTCTATGTCAGAGATGGCAGAGTTTAGTGTGCAGGACCAGTTGACCAGACGCTTGCTCCTGTAGATCACTCCCTCCTCATGCATGCGGATAAAGGCCTCCTGGACTGAGTAGGAAAGTTTCTGGACAGAGAAATATAGACATGAAAATTAGAAATTCAGGTTGTATTCATATTAGTTCAGGGATTTCAGAATACTCACTTCGTCCATAGTGAAGCAGGCTCTGTCCCAGTCCAGAGAGGAGCCCAGCTTCTTCAGCTGGTGGTAGATACGGTCTCCCTTCCTGAAAAGACAAAGGGACTAAGTTATTACAGTGTTCTTTATTCTAGTATTAAACCAGGTTCACATCTCCTCCTTTCTACTTCTTCCTTCACTCACTCGTTCTTCCAATTCCAGATTTCCTGGATGAAGTTTTCCCGGCCCAGATCGTGACGGCTCATGCCCCTCTCTCTCATCACCTTTTTTTCCACCACCACCTGTGTGGCGATACCGGCGTGATCACAGCCCGGGTTCCACAAGGTGGTTTCACCTCGCATCCTGTGCCTGGACGGACAGAAGGAAGCACACCAATTCAATCACATGGTCTTGATAACAACACAATTTAAATGAAATAGAAACAGAAAAGAAACAAAAAGTTACCATCTGGTCAGAGAATCCTGAATGGCGTTGGTGAGGGCGTGGCCCAGGTGGAGTGATCCCGTCACATTGGGTGGAGGGATACACATCATGAAGACACCGCGGGGGTTCTTGTCGCTGATACTCTCCCTCTGCAGAGACAGACGTGTTATTGCAGACTGAAATGATAACTAACAAATATGACATTTTCTGTCGTATGAAGATAGGACTTCTTTACCCCGTACTCCGGCTTGAAGAATCCCTGCTTCTCCCACCATGGATACCAGGCAGCCTCCACATACTCAGGACTATAGGAGTCGGGAAGCGGGCTGATGACATCTTACACCAGAAGAGAAAGAGAGGGAGGGTTGACATATGGACCTGGAGATAGTCACAATAAACTGACAAAACTATACATGTTATGTAGGGAACACAGGGATGTCACTTGGCAGGTGATTGGATGAACCATCTGTCAATCAAACTCTTGCAAAGTAGAAGAGCGAAAACATGTTTTTTTTAAATCAAGAAAAACCTTCAATGTCGATCTTTGCACTTCTTTCAATGAAGAAAATCCAGAACTTCTAGTTCTGATGTAACTGATGCTGTTGCAGCGTCTACGTTAACCTCTTAAGGAGCCATCATTGTTGTTTTAAACGCCTCTCTGTGTCGCATCACACCTAAACTTCTCCTTAGCTGCAGGTAACTCCTCACAGGATGCCGATTGGTTTGAACCACTGTGGCTCGGTCACAAACGCATACATGAAGCCTGACTCGATGGATTTGCGTGCGATTCTCATGTCATCTTAGGATATTGCAAGAATCCAGCTGCCGTGCAGGGTAGCCCCTCACCCTTTGCTATGAATGGGGAAAGCTACAACACCACGTATGGTCACTCATGACTCCACCTTTTGTGACGAGAGAAAACACTCCCACCCACACTGATCAATCACCTTTTTTCTCCCCAGGGGCAGTGGGGACAGTGTATGAGATCACTCCCAACTCCTTCTTCTCCGGTTTGGCCTTTTTCTAACAGAGAAGAAAGCAGAACACATGAAATAAACCATGTATAGGTTCTCAAAGCTGCACCCATGTCTTACAAGACCTTCTATTTGAAGAGGTTCAGTATCCGTACCTCTGTTGACGGCTGAGTCTTTTTCTTTGCCTCCATTTCCTTCTTCTGCTGGAACTTTTCCAACTTTTCTCTCTTCTTAGCATCCTTCTTCAGCTGTGCTTCTGTCTTTGGTGGGCCTGTAGGAGGAAACATGAAGAGAATCAGAATGATGTTTCCACAAAAAAAGAAGTATTCATGAACTGTGGCAGAAGACTCCCTGACCGTTAGCTGTGGCATCAGCAGGATCACCAGCAGCTCCGGCATTAGCAGCTCCGGCATTAGCAGCTCTGGCATTAGCAGCTCCGGCATCAGCAGCTCCGGCATTAGCAGCTCCGGCATCAGCAGCTCCGGCATTAGCTGGAGGGTTTGCATTCGGTGTAACTGGCACCATCTTCTCACAAAGCGTGATCTTCCCCAACACCTTCAGGAACTGTGGCTGATTCGAGCAGGTTGTGAACCACCTCGTAACATTGGTCAAGACCTTCCTGTCCGATGGCTCCAACACCTAAAATAAAATAGAAAAAAAAAAAATCAGATAAAGAGTTGACTGATAGGAGATTTCCCAGCACTAAAGTGTTCATCGTAGAAACATGCTGAGAGACATACAGGTTGCACCACATACGTACATATTTAAAAGGGAGAAGAACAGCTGTAGCTACAGCCATATCAGCCAGGGTGATGCTCTCCCCCACCAGGAAGGTTCTCGGTTCCAGGGCTTTATCGAGAACCTTCAGAACACGGATCAACTCAGCGCGGGAACTCTGCTGGAGCTGAGAACGCACAAGTCGTTTTTAGAATAAAACCCTCACATGATAAGAGAAACCACACACACGTCCAAGAAAGCATGTTGTACGATTGGTCTCACCTTCTTATCCACTCCCACCATCCCCATCAGAGGGAAGACCACAGCGCAGGACACCGGGGTGAGTTCGTTGTCTGCAAAGCTGAGCCACTGCCACACCTGGCTCTGCTGCTTTGCATCCACACCAGCTCTCTTCCCCTGGTCAGCCAGGTACCAGGCCACAGTGCTGGACCCGCTCAGGACGGTGCCACCGTCCCGAGCGTCCAGCACCAGGGTCGGTCTGGAGCGGGCATTCAGGGACGCGGGAGGGTCCTCTGTGAGAGTCTGCAGGCGGGAGGAACCAAACTCTGCAGCTATGAGAGCCAGGAGGCTCCTGAAGTCATCGGGGTGAGGGGACACGAAGAGAGCGGCCATCTCTGGGAGAGACACACAGACATTGAGTACATCGTGAACTGGTTTTGATGTGTTATTCACTTGCTGCTTTCAGTTTACCAAACAAGTTATGCTATCAAAGACATTCTTTATCTGGCTGAAGATGGTGGAGTGGGTGTTTGTTTGTTTCATACCAGTTCAACAGTGTGTCGTCTGCAGTCAGGTTAACCAGGGAAACGAAACTTCTAGCGTTAATAAACCGGTTTAAACGTATTTAAAACATTGTTTAGCATCTTATACTAGTCTACATCATCGTGTAGAAGTGTCTGACACGATAGCTGTGTTAGCTGGTGTGTTTCACTTTCTGCACAAAGAAATCTCATCTCTGCCACCGGTCAAAGGCTGACAAAAAGTCATGCCAAACAGGCTAGTTAGCTTTAGCTAATCAGACAAACTCCAGTTTCTGTGAACGCATCCCGAGCTTCACATGTGTTCACGTTCGTAGCGAGTTTCTTAAACTGTTTTTTTAAGTTGGTGTTTATTGAACCTGTGGCGTGTTATTCGCATTTTTTTGCAGGAAGTTATCCTTACCTGTAAGTGAAACAGAAAGAGCCGTCAGCTTACACAGCAGAGGCACATGAATCCTCGCCTACTCGCTGTTGTCTGATGCAACTAGCAACGTGTTCCGGGTTTGATCCGCTGCGTCCGCCGCAAACCGGAAGTCTGTAAAATGTAAAATGTTTTATTTTTAATCATGATTAAAAAAAAATATCCAACAACCTGTGGTGAAAAAAATAAACAAATATTTAAAGAATGAAGTCAAAGCATTAAAATCACAATTTGACAAAGTTACAGTCAGAGTTAAATAAAAGTACTTAAGTGTCATCATCATATGCAGAATTGAGTGTTATACTATAATACCTATTATATTAATTATGACTACTATTTCATTAGCAAAATAAAAGAATAATGTCGTGGCTCATCGAGCTGCAGCCAATTTATAAATGAATGTAATTTGCATGTAAAATCTTGATCTGAAGTATAAAGTACAAAACTTTAGCCTGAAAAGTAGTGGAGAAGAAGCCGACAGTATCATAAACTACATGTACCAAAATTAAGTAGGAGAACCTAAAAAATAACTCCAGTAATACTTAACTAAATTGGTATCATTAGTTATTTTCCTAGCAATAAAACAGTTTGGAAATAAAAGTAAAAATCCTGCATTAAGTGTTACTATAATAAAAGTCCTAAGTAAGAAGAAGAGTATCAGAAGTAAAATCACTCACGGTGCAGACAGGACTCTTTGAGCGAGTTAAACTATTATATCATCTTTATTACATTATTGGATTATAAGCACTGATGCTTTCACATTCAATGCTTTGCTGGTTGAGCTGGAGCTGATTTTTACTCGTTTGTATATAGCCGCTTAGTAGTTTCATCTATAACAATAGATAATTCATAAACTTCACATATGTTTTATCTACAAAATAACTACCTACTCTTTCAGTAGGTAGTTAAATGGAGTCGATATTTCCCCTGAAATGTAGAGGAATATAAAAGGAAAGTATAATTGAATGGAACCACCCAAGTAAAGTAGATTACCTCTAAATGTTATTGAGGTATATCTGTATTTATGTTTTATATTTGGAAGGTTTTGACTTCATTAATAGAAATATGTTATTATATTAGTGTGTGTTACCATGAGCATTGGAAAGAAAAGGACAGAACAAAGACACAAACAGTATGCCAGCATCCTCTTTTATTAAAATGTACATGTAAGCAAACATTTATCATAACAACTATCATACAATAATTGTTTTGAATAATTACATCCAAAAGCCTTGTGCACAGTGTTTTTTTTTGAATCAGTTGGGTCACTTATCCCAGCAGCAGATTATTTGGACAGCCAGCCACAGTGAAGTGTAAGACCTACATGTAAGAAATGTGATTCAGAAACGTATAGCTATCCTTATCGTAACAACTGAGCTTCAAATTACATCCAACTGAAATAGTCCCCCCCTTTTTCCACGTGCTAAAAAAATTCACAAACCAAAACTGGAGAAAAAAAAAAAAGTTTGTCACTATGACTTCATGTGGACTTTTGTTCCACTTTAAACTCATGCTCAAAAGCCAATTTCCCCGCACCAAAGACCACATCCACCATCCCCATTATTAAACCCCCTCCGATTCTAAACACATTAACTAACCCACTTCCACTTCTCCACACCAGCCTCCCCAACCCGCCACCGAAAGCTTTCGCCTGACCCCCCATCTCTGACGCCACCGTTCCTACGTAACCCTCGCTCTGCTCCCACAGCCGGCCTCCGAAAAACTTGGTCACCCACCAAGCATTATCGAACGCATCGCCAAATATCCCCACTGTGTCTCCAGCCAGGGTCCCCATGCCAGTGACCCCAGTGTGGCAGCTGTTCAGCAGGGCCCCCAGTATGGAGGAGGAGCAGTAGTAGATGCTGGAGCAGCAGTTCTCCCCGATACCCAGTAGCATTTCTCCAGCTGAGCCGGACCAAGACAAGAGGTCAGAAGTCAAGAGGTGGAAGAGGGAGAAGGTTTCGCCAGGAAGTGCAGACAGAACCCCAAGGTCTTCCTGAAGAACGTCCATCACCTGAGTCAAAAGACAAACATGTCAGATCAAAATGTGTGAATAACAAAATGACAGAATGACAGAATGACCGGAAGGCATGTAATGATTTAACACCTGCCGGCCAAACCTTATTCCAGTCTCTGGGAGGAGAGTAGTGGAATAGGGAGATTTATGAAACGACACTGAAGCTGAACATGTTAAAACTGATTTTTTTTTCTCTCCAAATTAACTACACTAAACATCTCCATGTTTTATTTCATAAAGTCTTGGAAGATTGGTCTCTTGTAACAAAAATAAGACTTGAATGCAGAAACAAGTTATGATTAGTAATTCCTTCTATGTCCTGTTGTCTTTTGCCCCTTTCCCTCTTATTTTAATTCATTTAATTTGTCAAATTACCCGGTTCTACACATGGTTTACTAAACTTGTGATGAGGAGTCTGTGGAAACAGTTGTTTAATGTCTTCTGTTGCTCTGGATGAGACGTCTAAAGTCTAACAAAAATACCCCGATGATGTCCTCAGGCTTGGCCTTGCAGTCTACAAATTTGTAGCAGAAGGCCTGTGTTACAAACTGGGGTGTGTATGCTGTATACCGTTGCATTTTGGGAAGTGTAATGTGCATCAATTTCAACCAGTCCCATGTTAGCCTAATGGTAGTGTAATTGCTGGAGTAGCCCTTTATTTTGAATAACATAAAATACAACAATGTCTAAAGGGTTCAGTAACTTGTTTTACCTGTCCAGGTAACTTAGTGACAGTGGAGAACACCGGCTGCAGCGGCACTTTGAGGATGGACAAGGTGGTGGAGAGGACGTACATCAGAGTGCTGCTGGAATTTGTGTCTGTCTCTTGTTCATCCGCAGTTTCATAGTCAGCTGAGGACTCAGGAGACCCTGATCTGACAGCTCTTGAATGTGTCACATCACGCTGATTGATTCCTTCAGTGGCACCTGAACCAACCTCCTCTCCTTTGGTGACCTCTGAACCAACCTCCTCTCCTTTAGTGGCATCTGAACCAACCTCCTCTCCTTTAGTGGCACCTGAACCAACCTCCTCTCCTTTAGTGGCACCTGAACCAACCTCCTCTCCTTTAGTGGCACCTAAACCGACCTCTTCTCCTTCAGTGGCACCTGAACCAACCTCCTCTCCTTTAGTGGCACCTGAACCAACCTCCTCTCCTTCAGTGGCTCGACCAGTGTTTGAATCTACATCTTTAGCTCCTGTGTTTTCACCAGTAAGATCTGCATGCAGCTTTTCTATGTTCCCAGGGAGCCCCTCACTGTGAAGACCTACTCTGATTCCAACAGTCTCCCCATCTGCTACTCCACAGCCCTCTGAGAACAGCTCTGCCACTCCGAGAATCTCCTCCAGCTCCTTCACGCTCACTTGCCTCTCCCCTCCCCCTGTCTCTCTGATTAACCCCATACTGAAGCCACTCTTCCCCTCTGGGACAGTGCAGCACACTGCAGACCACAGCGGCGTTGTCTGACACTCCCCGTCTCCATCCCTGAGACCCCCTACCCCGGTCAGGATGTAGAGATCGCCCCCTAAAGTGCTGCACTGGGGAGAGATGCTTGACTGGACCAGTGTTGTGACTGTTGAGTCCCAGTGTTGAAGCGGGGAGTCTGTGGGCGAGACGTGATGAGACGGATCCCCGCCTCCTCTGAGAAGGGCTGGTACTGCCACTTTAATGTTTTCTTCTTCCTCCTGGCAATAAAAATAAAAAACAGAACCACGTGTTAAAGTATGACTGCATCAGGATCTACTGTATGCAAGCGTAAACTAATCATTACCCAGTCAGTCTATTACCTTCAGATACTTCACTATGTATTTTCAAATATGAATCACATCATTCTATTTAATTGATTTAAATTGTTCAGAAGTTATTCTTGAAGTTATTAAATGTAGTATTAAATACATCTATATAACATGTGCAACATACAAATGCCCTCATCTGTTTTGAACTTTCGTATACTCAGTTTTCAAATGCAGGGACTTGCAGTGAATTGCGAGAGGTGGCTGTTTACAATGTTTCGTGCAATGGTGGAAGATGTATTCAGACATTTTACATGACAACAATATATATATACAGTATATCATCAAAGTATTTGCCACTAAATATACTTCAAGTATCACAAGTGAAAGTACTTGTTCTGTAGTTAATCACAGGAATAAATAACATGCTGGCAGGAGGAACAAATCTGAGGGGTTGTCAGATGATTAATGAGGTAGAAGAAAAGAACAAAACTCATTTTTGTTACACAAATATTGAGTATTTATTCATTTTCTTCACTTCTTTTTATAATCATCGCTTTTTGTGAAATGTCAAAGGCATCATAGGCCAATGGTATCATCTTTTACAATGTATTTTAATGAATTAGCATATCATATTTATTATGTAACGCTATCTGAAAAGCAAGTAGTAACTGTACTGGATTGAAAAGTACAATATTTCCATTGAGTAGAAGCACAAAGTAACATAGAATGGAAATACTCAAGCTAAGTACCTCAAAACTGTGCTTAAGAAAATGTACTGAGTTACTTTCACCAATGATTTGCTGCTTGTATGCTGGAACACCAATCTGTGATTTTGTACATTGAAAAACAGAGGGCAGATAGATAGATGCGTCCTTACCACGAGCTCTTCCCCCTCCTTCTCTGTCCATCCGGGGCTGAGATGGAAGGCAGAGAAGACGGCGGTGTCACAGGTCGGTTTGGACAGAGTGGCGAATGCCTGTCCCCCAGGCAGGCTGTGGCAGAGCAACCCTGCAGAAGAGGCTCCCTGAGGAGGCGTCTGTCTGTAGAAGCAGTGGGTGCAGAGGCTGACGTCTGGCTCCGAGTTGTCCTCAGCTGGAAGAGACAGGCCCGGGCCCAGCACAGCCAGCAGCCAGACAGCCGCAGCAGCTGCACTGACGGCAGTAGGACACAGCATGTTGGGGGTGAGCGCAGCACAATCCCTCTCTCTCACACTCTCTCACACACACACACACACACAGCAAGAGGGAGAGGCTTATAAATAATCCAGTGGTTTCCGTATATAGATGGAAAAGATAAGGTGGCCAAGGTTGGCTGCTGATGTCTTGTGGTTTTCCTAGTCGCTCCTTGTTCTCTCCTCCAGTTTGCTTCCAACCATGTCTGCCTTCTTTTAAAGTCAGCTGTACTCTCAGTGAATCTGTGTTGCAGGCACAATCTTGCTTACTCCTTCATTTCCCTTTCACTGACAACCTCGCCCCCTCTGTCAGTTCCACCCTCTTTGACTCTCCCTCTGGCTGTACCTCCACTTCAGCCCCCTCCCTCTTCAACACTCTATGGTTACACCTTTAACTCCCATTGCTGCTAGGTACACAAGCCGAGCACACACCCATCGAAAGCTGTCAATTACCTGTAAGTCTGCATTCCGAAACAATGGTCGTTGTACAAGCCAAGTCCCTTGAATGACAAACTCTTGCTGTCCATTATTCTTGTCAAAACACATTCCTTAAAGAGCAGATTATGTACCAAGTCAAAAATGTTGCTTTAAAATACGCCCATATCAAGCAGGACGTCACACTTGAAACCCCAGGTAAAATGTGGGCGACTGAGCTCTAAATTTAACAATGTCAGTTCATGAATCCCTCATTAAGGCTTAATCCTGACAGTGTCAAAACCACGGGTCATCGTTTCACCCAGAGTACAGCCGTTCTTCATTTAACCTGCCAGGCAAAACACACTCTCCGTCATGCCTTGCAAGCTCGCTTTACTTGATATTAGAAACACGCCTGTCGAGACACGATGTTGGCACCGATTGTTCTTTACAAGAGCATTAGTCAGCGTGAAGCAAAATGTATCTAGCTCTCTTTTTGACCTCTAGAAGAAGTGGAGTCCAGCCACGCTGCCTTCATGTTGCTTAATTATGGCAAATATGAGCCAAATGTACCCCAGGGCTTCTATGAAGAGAAGCAGAGACCAAGCATGCAGAGATCAAGCGCAATAACCAACATGAACTACGTATACACGAGCTTTCCTCATTCATAGCGTTAGTTCGGTGAATGTTGTCAGTACACATGCCCTAAACATGAGTGTTCACAAAGACCACAGCATACCTCAGTGACTGACTGTAGCTCTGGAATGATTTTTAGGGTGTGATGCTTTGGGTGGGGCCAAAGTATACAACGCTGCATCTTAAATGGTGCGATGAAATTTTAAACAAGCATACAGCAACAATATAGCCTGTGTAAGCATGTTGTCAGCAGAATCTGTGAATGAAACCAGACACCATTTCAACTTGAAACAAAAACTTTTAGTGATCTGAAATGATAACATTTGACATTGTATTCTCTGACACACACACACACACACAATTTGATAGGTGCAAATATAATACATATTAATTAACATGACGTAGCTTTGATTTTAGAAGTTCAAATGACAAAACTGCTTGTAACGAGCAAAGACGACGTAAGATTTGAAAAATATCAAACTAAAACAGCTTTAACGGACTGCAGTTTTAATGCAATTCCAAGTGTGAGATGGTGTTTGGACAATGCAAAAACAGACAAACAGAAGCTGTCTTTCTGCAGGACCCACCTAGCTGTAGTCACAGTTTATGGATCGCTTGACAAAAGATAATCAGCTGCCAGCTTGAAACAGCTTAAAAAGCAAAGTATCCTGTTATTCCAGTGGCAGTGGATTTTTCTTAAAGCTTACAAATGCTTATTTTGTCACAGATTTATTTCTTAATTTCTCATTTTGGAAAACCACATTCATCTGGGAAATATTTTAAAGTGATATTGCAATTAAGCAAAAGTCCACAGGGGGGGAGCTTGGCCCTCCTTTTTATTTTGATAATAGGTAATGCGCTACTCAATTCGGAAAATACTTTGTCACATTCTGTCTTTTGCTCTCACACACACACAGATGTACAAACCTTCCATCCCTTTTATAAATACATCTAAAACACACACCGGCTCTCACTCATTCGGGAGGTCAATGACCAGTTCGGCCTCGTCTCCCTCCCCTCTGTCTTCATCTCCTCTGTCGCTGTCTCCATCGCTCTCTCCCTCCTCCTCAGCTGCGTCGCCACTGAGCATCTGTCTGGGAACCCAGCTGAAGGGGCCGCTGGCTGCCGGAGGGACCGCAGGGGCTGATGGGTAATTAGCTGCTAATGGGGCAACAACCTGAGAGGAATTTGAAATAAAGCAAACATGTCAGGAATGGCAAAAGGATGGGAGATGTGATGAAGGAAGGAGGGGTATGGATGGATGGCTGCACTACAGATAAGCATGTAGCATGTACATAAACTCACAGACCAGAGGGTCATTTCAGCAGACTCTAATGTCTGAGGGGACTGAACATCAGTGTCCTGAAATGTCATTATCACAGGTAATATTAAATAAAGTTGAGTAAAGATTTTAGGACTCTCTAAGTACATAAAAGTCACATATTACTTCCTCTTTCTTATGTAAATATGCTGTAACCAAAATATAACCTACTGGAACACCTTATTTTCCCCTTTTCTCTCTCACCTTCCCCGTTGTGTCTCTCTTGTTTTTAGGCATCTTTGTTTTTCTCTCTTTCTTCATTCGTTCAGCTGGCGGAGCCAAATACTCTGGTGGGAAGGGCATCTGCCCAACACACATGCAGGCCCCAAATTGCCAAATGACCACACAAAACACACAGAAATAAGCCATTTACAAGACA